ATGTGCCAGTCTCCCCCATCCCTAACAAATCTTTTATCGGTCCTACCATCCCCTCACACCTTCCTCCTATATCTTTCCTCCATTTCTCAGCCAAACTCCTTGGGAAACGCTGTCTGCATTCACTGCCTCCACTTCCTCTCTTCTCTTCAGTTATTTGCAATCTGGCCTTTGACCTTATCACTCAACTGAAATTGTTCTCTTCAAGGTTACTAAGATCTCTTAATTGCCAAATCTCAATCTCCTCCTCCTCCTCAACATATCTATTGCATACAACACGGTTGATCAAGCTGAGTTCTCACGACACTCCTTTCTCCTGTGTTGCCTCCTGTTTACTGAACTCAGCACATTATCTTCCCTCCTCCCTTCCCCCAAACTCTCTCCTCTTGCAAACTTCCCTGTTTCTGTTGAAGGCGCCTCTATATCTCTCCCAGGTTCATAATGTTGGGTTGTAATCTTCTTCTCCCCTTACCTCACTCGACATAGCCAATCAGTTTCTACTTCCACAACATCTCTTGAGTCTGAACTCTTCTTTCTACTCAAAGCTATCATCTCAGTTCAGATACTCATCATTTCTTGCCTCCATTATTTCAACAGCCTCCTAATTGGTCTCCCTACCTCAAGCTTCCCTTCACTACAGTCCATCCCCCACACTGCTATCAAAGTGATTTTCTTTAAGCACAGACCTGACCGGATCATTCCCCTACTCAATAAAGCCTAGTGTCTCTGTTGTCTCTGGGATTAGGTATAAACTCCTTTGTTTGACTAGCCCTTCATAACCTGGCCCCTCTGTAACTTTCCAATATCATTGACATTCTTCCTCTCATGCCCTGTGATTCAGCAGAAATGGCCCTTCTCTCTGCTCTTTACACATTCCACTTCACATCTCCATATCTTTGCATTGATAGACCTTCATTCCCTCCTTTCCTCCCCCTCTTCCTTTAAAATGCAGCTCAGGTTCTATATGAAGTTCTTCCAACCCCCCATCCCCAATTTAGTGCCTGCCTTCCCTCTAAGACTTCTTGGATTTCACTACCTCGGATTTAATCTCTTTCTATTCATTCCATATATACTTACATACATATACTTCTTATCTTCCCTAAAAGAGTATAAGCTCTTTTTGATCAGGGATTATTTCAGCAGTTAGGTGGCATAGTAGATAGAGTGCTGGGCCAAGAGTCAGGAAGACCTGAGTTCCAGTCCAGCCTCAGACATTTACCAGCTAGGCAAGTCACTTCCCCCTCTATGGGCTTAAGTTTCTCCCTCTATAAAATGGAGTGGTTGGACCGCATCGTTTCTGAGGGCCCCAGTTCTGTGATCTTATAAGTCTGGGTGTCAGTCTCCAATGACAAAATAAGGTGAAACATGGAGACCTTCCATTAGATAATTCAGGTGAGAACCTCTGAACAACCCCTCAAAACCTTCTGGTAAGACCACATTTTATAAATAGAGGCATTACTCCAACCAATGGGACCGTGTCACAATCCCATCACTGATGTGCTATAAGCAAGAGAAAGAGCAGTGGAGTGCTGCAGCTAGAGTCTTAGATTTGGAAGTAGGGGACCTCGGTCCAAATTTGAGGCAAGTCCCTTCACTTCTCTGCATCTTATTTGTCTTTGCTCTAAAATAAGTGGTTGAGCTGGATGGCCTCTGAGGCCCTGTTTAGCTCTCAATCCATGACCCTAAAAACTAAACTCCCCCTTAACGCTCAAACCCCACAAGAATGTGGTTTGGCCACCTGCCCATTTCTGCCTTCATTTCCGGGGAACTGACTTGGTGCCTGTATGGTTGGTTCTCCTAATCTGTTTTTATTAATGGGATTAGTTTTATCTATATGAATATTGAAATAAGACTTTTCATTACTATCATTCAGCAAAGGTAACCACTGGGTCAGATTCTAAGAGCTGGAAACAGTGAAAAAAGATTCCCCCCATCCCACATTACCCCACCCAAGGACCAAAACATTGCTAATTATAGTGATTTCATCCCAACAAGCATTCCCTGCTTCTTGAAAAATTGAAGATGGAGAGTGGAGATCTATCAGTCAATCAAAAAGCAATTATTAAGTACCTGCTCTGTGCCAGGTATTGTGCTAAGCACTGGAGATGAGATAAAAATTAAACCAGTCCCTGCCTTCAGAGAACTTATATTTTATCAGGGGAAATAACATACGCACATTATATGCGTGGATGCATATAATGTATGTATGTACGTACAAATATTTCACTTGTTAGTAATTTTTCAGTCGTGTCCAACTCTTCATGACCCCGTTTGAGGTTTTCTTGGCAAAGATACTGGAGTGGTTTGCCATTTCCTTCTTCAGCTCATTTTACAGATGAGGAAATTGAGGCAAACATGGTTTGCCCAGGGTCACACAGCTAGTGAGTGTCTGAGGCCAGATTTGAACTTACAAAGGTGAGTCTTTCTCACTCTGGGACTGGAGCTCTATCCACTGTACCAGCTAGCTGCCATATACAAATATACAAGTCAGAAAGGAAATGCAATAGAAAAAAAGGATTTGATGCTACCTGGCAAGGAGCAGGGGTCTATTGTCAGATTCTCTCAGCACCCCAAACTCATGAACATCACATAGCATTTACCTACTGGAGTTTTGTCTTCACCACTCTCCCTAGCCTACTGGGGATGCCTGAACACCAGTTCAAGATTGAATTTCAAGAACAGTGAGTATATCATATCTCTAGTTTGTTTCTTCATATATTCTACTGTGATAAGCACTCTTCATCCACCTGGTTTTTTCTGTGTGGATAGTTTTTTGAGGTATTATGGATCTCCTTTTAAGAGGCTTTGTATTGTCCTGGGACTTGACATCATCCATAAACAAGCCTCTGGAGCACCTCACCACTTGTAAGGAATCCCATTTTCAGTTTGGACTCAGTTCACATCCTCCATATGTCAGAGATTTTTTTTTTATTTTTGGCCAGGCAACTGGGGTTAAGTGACTTGCCCAGGGTCACATAGCTAGTGAGTATCATGTGTCTGAGGCCGTATTTGAATTCAGGTCCTCCTGACTCCAGGGATGGTGCTCTATCTACTGCGCCATCTAGCTGCCCCAAATGTCAGAGATTTTTACTGAGCAATTGACTCTCTGTTTTATGACTTACCTGATATTAATTATCAGGGGATAGTGAAACAAAGTTGTCTTTCTTATATGCTTCAAGGAATCTTAGATGATTTTTATATGTTGCACCCTTTTTGAAGAACAGCCTTTAAAGTTATACTTTTCCCTACCATTCTATAGCATATAAACATCTATAGAAACTTTATGTAAAGTATACAGAATATATAAAGTATATAGAAACTATATTTTATATATAAGTATATAGAAACTTCATGGCTTTTTTCTAATAGTCTTATTAGACATTAGAGCTAGAAGGTACCTTAGAGATCATAGAATCATAGATTTATAGCTGGAAGGAGCCTGTTATATAGAGTTCAGTCCCTTCAATTTACTGACATGGGAACTGAGACGCAGACAAGTCTAGCAAGTAGCCCAAGGACACACAGCAAGTTAGCGGCATTGCTGGTCTTCAGAGATGTCATCTTCAGGGTCTCCGAAAGACTTTCAATCCATTATAGCATACAAGCTTCCAGTCTTATCCTTTTCCGACTTCCTTATAACTTTCTGTGTTTCTTTGTTTTCATTGTCCCGCCTATTAGATCCACATACCCTTCATTGTGTGGGTAGTGTTTGCTTGGATAGAAAGTGACATTTGTTATTTCCCATTTAATACATGAATTGATGTTATTAGCAGCCCTATTTGTTCACAGTAGACAAACTCAGGATTATTGTGCAAAGTGTGTTTCCATTTTTCTCATATAATTGAAGCATTTTCCCTATCCCTCCTCCACCTACCTTCCGCCATATTTTTTTTCTCTCAAAGAATTGGTATCAACCTAGATTGCTGTCATTCAGTAACTTAATAAAATCTGGAATCCACATTTCCCCCTCCTTTACTGTTAAATTTGGGGCCCACTCTGTCACAGTGCATATAGCTCTGAAAGGAAAAATAGATCAGCTGCCTTGGGTGTCCACATCTTTTCCCTTTTTTAAAAAGCGTGGTCTTAGGAAAGACAAAATGTTCTTCTGCTTGGAAGTTGAGGAGGGATGGGAGGGGCTATTTTTGGTGGAAGGGTTTTATTTAGGAGAGGGGTATAAGGTAGACCCCACCAACATTTGTGCTGGTTTGGGGCCATATCTGTGGTGTAGATAAAGTCTGGAGTTTTTTGTAATGGGCTGTTATATTCCCAGAGTGAAGTGGGGCTGAGTTGGCTCTCCCCAGAGCCTAGCTTAGGTCTTTTCTTTGTTACTGTTACCTTCCCTGCCCTTGATCATTGGTGGCTTCCATTTGCAGTCAGCTCATAGCCTCCAAACAAGTGTACCTCCCTTTGAGAGTAATTCTGCCCAGCTGTACTGAAAGTGACCAGAGTGTGATGAAGGACCATCTCAATACCCCATCCAGATTGGAACATTCTATTAACAAAGAGGCCTCCAAAGGTGTTTATTTACAGCTGTTGGTGAATCCAGCACCAATGAAGCTGTGTGTGTGTGTGTGTGTGTGTGTGTGTGTGTGTGTTAGTTATAGACACAGAGAAACAGAGAGACAAGAGACAGAGAGACTGACAGAGGTGAGAGCAGAAGCCAACAGGTTTCAGGTTCCCTAGCAATCCTCCTGTTTGGCAGGCAGGAAACCAGCTGTGCCCCATGTGACCATGGCAACAGCTTATGGTTTGGTCTCCGAGTCTGTGATGACGTATTCAACCCTGCTATTGTCAGAGGATCTAATTACATCAGAGACAGTGTTAGCCACATAGGTCACATTTAATGGTGTTTCTTATTTAATCAGCTGCATTTAAAGGCAAATAGACTTGGAAATGCATTTTCCCCTTTGTTCCCTGCCCCAATGCCAATTCCAAAATAGCTTCTACTTTTTTGTTTGAAATAATGACCGACCTCCAATTGTTTCTTTTGTCCTCCTCTGCAGATGCCGCTCCTATGAAGACTGCTGTGGGTCAAGATGCTGCGTGCGGGCTCTGTCCATACAGAGGCTCTGGTATTTTTGGTAGGTCGCTGCTCTTACTACTTAGTAGTATTTCCCTGTCACTCATTACAGAGGCAGCTTGGTCATGGATCAAGAGTCAAGAGTGGTGTCCAGAAGGCCTGGGTTCAAATCTTATCTGTGATACTACTGATGAGAAATAAACAGGTCCTTACATTCTTTGAACCTCAATCTCTTCATCTGTAAAATGAAGGAGTTCAAGTAGATGACCCCTAAGATCTCTGTTGGCCCTAAATCTATGATCCTTAGAATCCAGCCACTGCTTCTGAATATGACTGGTTGCCAAGTATGTATGAAGGCAGAGTCCATCTTTATTGCTACCATTAAACTCATCTGCCTTGCCCCCTGGGTATTGTGTTATAGACAATATTTTGTACAGGGAATAACATTTTCAAATGGCTACTTTGGTGTTGACATCATGACCAGTGCTGCATGGCCTTTGGTACCCAAAGAACTGTGCAGGAAACTCAGTCCTCCAGCTCTTCTCATTAACTCACTTCAATACTCAGATTTCAAAGGTATAGGCACTGCTTCCCACACAGGACTGTCATTAAACACTCTTGATGAGTTGTTGCGGCCTGAAGAAAAGAATGATCATTTAGCTTGGTGGTAAGGAACTTTCATGGTCTTAAAGCTGACTGGGCCTTGGACCCCAGACATAATCAATTCCCAAATCCTCACCCAAGCCTTCCTAGCTTGATAGAACCTGCCAGCACCTGATGTCAATTGACACAGCTTATTAGAACCCATGGCCTCCTAGCTTTCCAGAGCTAGGACAGATGATATTGAGGGAATTAGTCCTAATTCCTTCAGTGCCTGAAAACTGCAAACTGCTTCATATTCTCCTCTTGACCAATTTCTGAAGTAGAGCTACTGCTGAATAGCCTAAGTGGCTAGAGAAATTAATATTCAGCAAATTAAGATACATACTAATTTTTATCATCTTGAGTTTCAGGTCACCTGGAAATCTTTTTACACTGAATTAATTCAATTTAACAAATATTTATTGAGTGCCTACTATGTACAAGACTGTGCTAAGCACTAATACAGATACTGAAATGAGAAAGGCTGAATGCCTGCACTCTAGTAGTTTCCAGTAGTTTACAATTTCCTTAATCTCATGGATTTTCCTTATGAAGCTTTTGCATTTTATTTTTTGTATTTTCAAAAGTAAGCATTTATTTTCTCTCCCTCCCACTTCCCCACCAAAAAAAAAAGGGAAAAAAAAGAAGAAAAAGAAAAGTCATGTAACAGATATGCATAGCATATGCACAGTCAAGCAAAACCAATTCCCACATCTACCACGTCCAAAAATGTCTGTCTCATCCTGCGTCCCGAGTCTATCACCTCTTTGCTTGATGTTATCTTTAGGACAGTGGTGCTGGTAACTCCCTGTCTGTATGGCTGTGTTGCCATTAAAGGATTCACTCAGGAGCCAATGATGGTACACTTTGAGGGGGAGAGGATACAATTATAGTTTCGAGGCAGCATGAAACTGCAGAGCTTGATTTGCAGTTAGGTATTTTCAAGATCCAGCAATCATGACTTTGGGTGGAAGTGTCTCTTTAAGAATTTGTTTGATTTTGATAGCAAACAACTATAAAGATATATTAACTGTTGTTGTTATTGTTGGTGCTTCTTTCCCATATGCCAGGGATACTTGGGCATATCTGAGAAAGGGGGAAATAAAAGAAACGTTCTCTTACACAGAAAACATCTGTCAAGCTCCAGTGGAGGCACTGGAGATGTAAAAATGAAAAACAACTTCATCTCTACCTTCATGGAGTTTACAATAGTATGAGATGGGTACACAGATAAAAATTATATGAGATAGAATATAATAATAGCAAAGGAGACATCCAGACAAAGTGCTCCAGGAAAGTTTGAGGAGGAAAATCACTTTCAGCAGGAGGTGGGATGAGGGGAGGGGAAAGGGAAATATAATAAGAGAGGACTTCATGGAAGAATTGACACTTGAACCTTGATGTAAGTGAAGGATTTCAGTAGGTAGAGACATGAGGATGCAGGGGATACTGCATTCCAGTCATGAGAAATGGGTCACTTTTACACATGAAAGAAAAAGCAATTTATTAAGTACTCTCTACATATCAGCCTCTATGAAAAGCTCTAGGGGTATAAATGCAAAAGGCAAGACTGTCCTTAACCTCAAGGAGCTTACATTCTAACAGAGGAAGATAGCACTTATGGGGAACCGTAGTGGCTACGGAAGGGTGTTTTTATCTGGAAAATCTCAGGGATGGCTAGTGAAACCATAGGGTAGTTGATTGACAAGTGGTGTTGATATGATTACTTTTCCAAGAGTGGAAGGAGGCAAAGCTGGAGAAAGGGTATTCATGATGTGACATGGCATAAAGATGCCCAGAGAACAGGATGAGGGTTTGAGTCAAACTAGAGATGGAGAACTCTTCGCAATTATGGGTCAGGGTCTCAGGATGGGAGCTGGAACATGGGGACAAAGGGTGGACTGAGGCAACCAGACATGAAGTTGGAGCTGAGGATGGAAAGAAGCAGAAGACAAGAAGATATGATTACAAAATAGTAGTCCACTCTGCCTAAAATATACTGGGAATAATAAAGGTAGGTCATAGCTGACTTGTGGAGGGCCTCAAATGTTGGGATTCTACTAGGCAATGAGGACTCGTGGATGTTTTTAAGTAGAGGAGTAAGATGGTAAGATCTGAACATTATGAAAACTTTCTTTGGCAGCTGCATTAATGGATGCAGTAAGACAAGTTAGGTGATGCAGGCAAGGGATGATATGAGCTTGAACTAAAGTGACAGCTGTATAATGAGGAAGGGGATGGATGAGTAGGATCAATCAACAAACCTTTATTTTGTACTTACCATGTGCCAGGCACAATGCTAAGTGTTGAGGATACTTAGAAAGAAACAAAGCCCTGTCATCAAGGAGCTTACATACTGATGCATACACTTCAACAGAATTTGGCAACCAATAGGATGTGGAACATTAGAGAGAAAAGGGAAGAGTGAAAGATGACTGAGATTGTGAATGTGAATGACTTGGAGGCATTTGGACAGGGACTATAGTCATTTTTATATCTCCACATGACTAAAGCATCATCTGCATAGAGTGATAATTGAAAGGTGTGAGATTCCCAAGGAAGGGAATGGATAGTCAGACCATATCAAGGATGTACTATGTGCCAGTCACTGTGCTAAGTAATGGAGTACAAAGACAAAAAACACACGAGTCATGGCAACAACCCATAGTTTAAAAGGACCTTGAAAATGAGCCAGTGAAGGAGATGAAGAAGGAACATTCATATAGGTAGGAGGAGAAGCAGGAGAGAATGGCATCATGAAAGCCCAAGGAATAAAACATGCCTAGGTTGCATCCCATGTCTCTTTTCCTGTTGCTTTTCGGTCTATAATTATTGTGCTGTTGTAAAGGACTGGGCTACAGAATCACTAGAGACCTCATGGAGCCTGAGAACTTCTGTCCCAAGAGGCTTCACCAGCAACCACTTCAATTTGCACAGAATTTCCCTTTCACATAGGGACCCCCCCTGCCAATTTGTGTTATCGGGGGAAGTTCCTGAAAGATAAGGTGACATCCCCCTCTTATTTACTTAGCCAAGTTTTTCCTTTTATTTTAGTGCTTTGTGTTCTCCTGATCTCCTCTACCATCAGTAGATTCTCTTTCCATATAGGTCATTTGAGGCAAAATAATTTTAGAAATTGCCAGTACCCTGAGCTGGAGGGTACCTGTCATGTCTACTTGCTACCTTGGCTAAATGTGCCAGTTACAGTCTCCTTGATCCTAAAGTGGTCTCCCTCATGGCCATTGAGGTGACAGGAGGCCAGCTTCCCACATAGAATGGGATCAATTTCAGGCTCTCACTCCTTCTATTATAGCCCTCGGCTGCTTTGATGCCTGACATATCCCAGTTACAGATTTGTTTCTTTGGTTTAGGGTACTTTGTTCCAGCCAAATACAAATAACCATGGTAGTGATAACGTACTTAAGCCTTAGCCATTCTAGTGGGTTACAGCTCCAAAGAATCAGGGAATATTGGTGCTGGAAGGGACCTTAGTGTATACAGACACTGTAATCCTAGCTCTGTGACTATGGGAAAGTGAACTCAACCTTTCCAAACCTGAGTTTGCATGCTCTAGTCTGTTAGCCAATCAACCAACAAACATTTATTAAGCATTTACTACGTGCCAAGCACTGTGCTAAGTGCTGGGAATACTAACGTGGAAGGACAATATATAAAAAGGAGCTGAAAATCAGGTTGGAGAGGAGGATGGAGAGAAAGGTACCCAGTGCAGGGGCATGGTAGAAAAAGTCCTGTGGAAGAGTTGGCACTGCACGGGGCAGTTAGGTGGTATAGTGGATAGAATACCGACCCTGGAGTCAGGAGGACCTGAGTTCAAATCCAGCTTCAGACATATGACACTGTGTGACTCTGTGTTCAAATTTCAGCTTTGCCACCTGTGTGACCTTGGGAAAGTCACTTAACCTCTATCTGCCTCAGTTCATTCACCTGAAAAATGAAGTGGTTGTACTAAATGGTTTTTTAACCAGAGTGTCCTCCATTTGGCCTTGGGCTCCTAGGATCATAGATCATATAGTTAGCTGGAAGGAACTCCAGAGACCATCTAGTCCAGCCTCTAATTTTATAGATGAGAAAACTGAGGTTGTGACTTGCCCCAAGGTAGTAGACATCAGAGGCAGGATTTGAACTTGGGTCCTCTGACTCTTGAGTCAATGGTCTTTCCATATATCACACTTGAGCCAGTTTTCCTGACTGATCCCTGATTCCACAAGAGGAAAACAAAACCTGGCAGAGATATCTGGCTCCCTTTTGATCTGTTAGTCATGTTGGTTAATATGATCAGAAACAGGGGAACCAGATAATGGGGTCTCTTTGTAAAGAAGATGGCCAAGACATATAGAGATTTATTATAAAGTGTAGATGGGTTCAATTACCCCAGGTCTGGGATGAGTTTATATTAGA